GCAAGCAACTCAAAGGCATTGACTCATAGATTTTTCTATATTTTGGAAATGCAGCCCTGCTTGAGTAGACATCTTCGATCATTCCAAATCTCCAACTGAGGCAGTCCCATTCCTTGAGAGAATAAGAGGACAAAACTTTAAAATGGCACCGTTAAAGATGGATTAATAAAAATGTGATGGCCATTTTATTTTTGTGGCCAAGAACTCAATAATCATCATTATGACTGATAGCATACCATATACCAGGGGCCATCTTATAGTTCACACCAGCATGAGAAGTAGAAAATGTGTTAGAAAATATCATTCAGGCGGGTCGGACATGAGATGGCCCTGCGCCTGTAATCCCATCAGTTTGGGAGGCCAAGGCGGGTGGATCACCTGAGGTCAGGAATTCAACACCAGCTTGGCCTACATGGTGAAACCCCTGTCTCTAGTAAAAATACAAAAATTAGTCTGGGCGCAGTGGTTGCAGGCACCTGTAATCCCTGCTACCTGGGAGGCTGAGGCAGGAGAATCACTTGAACCTGGGAGGCAAAGGTTGCAGTGAGCAGAGATCACACCATTGCACTCCATTCTGGGCCACAGAGCCAGACTCCATCTAAAAAAATAAATAAATAAAAAACTAAAAAAGAAAATATCAAAATAACACTCAGGCCAGGTGCAGTGGCTCACACTTATAATCCCAGCACTTTGGGAGGTCAAGGTGGGTGGATCACTTGAGGTCAGGAGTTCAGACCAGCCTGACCAACATGGTGAAACCTTGTCTCTACTAAAAATACAAACATTAGATGTAATTCCAACTATTCGGAATCCCCAGCCTTGCTTGTCCTTAGACCATCTAGAAGTTCTGTCTTGACCTACACATCACAATATTGATTCTTTTTCCTTTTCCTTGGGACCCATTTAAGCATCTTTTTTTTTTTTTTTTTTGACAGGTTCTATTCTTCTTGCCCATGCTGGGAGTGCAGTGGCACGATCTCGGCTCACTGCAACTCTGCTCTCCAGGTTCAAGTGATCTTCCACTTCAGCCTCCTAGTAGTTCCAACTGTAATCTAACTATTCGGGAGGCTGAGGCACGAAAATCTCTTGAGCCCAGCAGGCAGAGATCGTGAGTGAGCCAAGATTGCGCCACTCTGCTCCAGCCTGTGACAGAGCAAGATGCTGTCTCAAATAAATAATTAAATAAAAAATTAAAAATGAACGTTAAAGAGTTAAATGCCTCCAAACATGCATATACTGTTTGAAATGGTAATAATGCCTCTTAAGCATTTGATTAAATCACAACTTTAATACTTGCTGGGTTTTTTTTTTTTTCTTCAGGTTTTTGTTTGTTTGTTTTTCCTGAGACGGTCTCTCTTTGCCTGTAGCTGGAGTGCAGTGGCTCCATCATCGCTCACTGAACACTCTAACTCCTGAGCTTCAAGCAATCTCCTCCCACCTCAGTCTCCCCATGTAGCTGGTATTACAGGCTTGCAAGACCACGCCAGCTAATTTTTTTCTATTTTTTATACAGATGGGGTCTCATTTTGTTGCTCAGGCTGGTCTCAAACTCCTAGGCTCAAGTGATTGCTCACCTTGGCCATCCAAAGTGCTCTGTGATTCCAGGTGTGAGCCACTGCACTCAGTCCTGAATGTTCTAAATTCTTTCAAAGTAGCAAAATTTATATTAAAACATTCCAAACCTGATGAGCTCCCTTGCTCTACAAGGATTTACAAGTAGAATCAATTAGGTGGACAGTTATAGCTGACATTTGACAGAGAGATAGTTATAGATGGAGGTAGGTATAGAGGGAAGGAGGCAAAAAGAGTTAAGGAACTGGACACCTGAGAACTGTCTACAGGTTCCAAAAACAAGACAAAGAGAGAACCTTTTATTCTCTGCCAAGAGGGACAGTCTCTATTGAGACTGCTCTGCCTTTCTGCTTTTTATGTGTCAAAGACATTTAAATTGGCCTGTAATCCCAGCACTTTGGGAGAGACCGAGGCGGCAGATCACCTGAGGTCAGGAGTTCAAGACCAGCCTGGCCAACATGGTGAAATTCTGTCTCTACTAAAAATACAAAAATTAGCCAGGCATGGTGGCACACACCTGTAGTCCCAGCTACTAGGGAGGCTGAGGCTGGAGGATCACTTGAATCTGGAGGCAGAGGTTGCAGTGAGCCGAGATCGTGCCACTGCACTCCAGCATGGGCAACAGAATAAGACCCTGTCAAAAAAAAAAAAAAAAAGACACTTAAATGGATCCCAAGAAAAAAGGAAAAGAGAATCAATATTGTGATGTGTGGGGCAAGACAAGAACTAGATGGTCTAAGGACAAGCAAGGCTGGGGAAGTACCTTCTGCCCATCCAAATTACAAAGAAAACAGATGCTTTGGGCAAGAGTCCAAGAACAATCACAGACTTGAGACAAATGTAGGGTTACGGGCTGAGAATTATTGGTGTAAAGGTTGAAAACTGACCTTTAAACCTTACAGGACACTGACACAGAGAGGTCGAACCCGCGCCCAGGACGCACAGGGGTCAGTGAGAGGTGGAGCTGGAAGGGAACCCTGAGCTCCAGGCTTGGCCGCCTCCACTCCACCTGCCCTACCCGGTGCGTTTTCTCCCGTGCTGCTCGCTGGTGTTGCCTTCTGAACCTCGGCAGTTTCTGCTTGCACCTGCAGGGTTTAGCTTCCGGGCTGCTTGGGAGGGCACCGGAATGCCGAAGGCAGGACTACACACTGCGAGTGCACCACCAAACCCCTTGAAAACCTGAGGCTGCCTGCGCGACTCATTTCCCAACGCCCCGCGCGGCGGGGGCTTGGGCGTTGCCAAGGAGATACTGGCAGTGGCCCCGCCTCCACGCAGGGAAACAGGCGGGAACCACAAAGACCCGGAAGGTTGTGCGCGTTGCCCGCGGCGCGCATTGGGCCAATGAGAACCGAAGGGCCGGAGTTCCGGCGGTGGGATTGGGCTGGCCGCCCGCGTCAGGCCATACCGGTGGTCTGTGCTGGGGCCCGCGGGTCGGGGCCAGTTTCCAGAGGTTACCGGGCCCGGCGGCTGGCGGCGAGAAGGTACTGGCTGAGTGGCTCGCGTCGGCCCGCCCTGCACGCGTCGTGACCTTGGCGCTGGCCACCGGCCGCGCCCCCCTTCCGTTTCTGAGTGCTGTGGGCGTCCTGGGGACTGTCGGCCGCGGCGAGCCATGCGCTCTCCCACCGTGCGGCAGCCCAGGAGGCTGCGCGCTGGGCGTTCCACGTCCATGACTGCGGGGAGGCTGAGGAAGCGGGCGGCCCTGGACGCTGCGGGCGAGGATGGCGGTGCCGGAAAATCTACCTCTTTCTTCCCTCCCAGCCGCGGGGGTTCCGCTGGCGGCGGCGGCGCTGACAAGCCCGCGCCGGGGAGGCAGGGGAGCCCTTGCTCCTTACAGACCGCGCCCTCACGGAGGAGGCCGCTTCTAGACCTCGCCTCGTCGTCTTTCCTCTCCTCGCCCTGCGGGGTTGCGGGGGTCAGTGCAAACCCCCGTGTCCAGGGTACTGGTGGGCTCCTGACTTCCAGCAGTCAGGGGCTGAGGTCCTGAAGGAAGCTCCGAGGGGGAGAGTCCTGTGCAAACCTGGGAGGGGAGCCGGAGTCCAGGAGCTTCTGGCACTGGAGCGCTCCGTTGTGGGAGCTGGGGAGAGGATGGCCGCAGTAGCAGGCGAGGAAGTGGGTTTTTTCTCGAGGGCGTCGGGAGACAGAAGTTTTGAACAGAATCAGGACATCCTCTGAGTTGGGATTTTAAACGGTTCCACTGTTTGTTGCGTGGAGAACAGACATGCAGGGGTGTCGGCATGAAGGGAAGACCTGACTGCCAAGCAGTCTGGGCAGCAGGAGGAGCGGGCCAGGTGAATTTCTGGGTGGATCTGCGGATGCATCAGGTGTGGGCTGTTTGAGAAGAACGAACTGCTCCATGTTGTTCAGCTCTGAGCGCCTGGAAGAAGGGAGCTGCTGCAGAGAGAAAGGAGAATTGAAGGGAAAGCAGGTTTCCTTTAGGGGAAAGCTCAGGAGTCTGGGATGTCCCAGGCTGGTCATGCTCACTGGACCTGACGTTGTTGGTGTCTCCGGGCTGAGGACAGGCCTATGAACTGACTAAGGAATGGGTAGGAACTCAGCCAGGTGTGGGCAGTTATGGCTTGAGGGTGAAGAAGACCAGCTGGGATGACTGGGGCTATTGGGAGCTCAGCACCCAGCCGAGGAGGGAGGGTGGCAACAGAGGGGAAGAAAGAGAGGGAACACCGTGAAAAGAAGTGGATTGAGTTCCTGTGTTCACAGGTTCTTGGGGCTGCTCCCCTGTGGCGACTGGTGAAAATCATCCAGTCCCTCAGGTTGGGTGAGCAGCCTGGAAATGTCTGGCAAGCAGGCTCAGCAGGGGAGGGTCCCACTGATGGGTATGCCTGGGAAGCGCCAGCTGGGACTTACAGAGTTTCTTGTTCCAAGAGCAGGAAAGGCGCATCTGGTCATGCTGAGTCGTGAGTGGATACCTGGGGCTGCCCTTGGTGTGGCAGCTGAGGGCTCAGCCAGGGCTTGCTCTAGTTTGCTTGTGTGGCGATGTGGCCAGTGGGGAGGCCAAGAAGGCATCTGGGGTCTGGTCAGGGAGGGCAGAGGGGAGGGTTCCCAGACATGTGAGGGAAGTGCCATCTGAAGATGGTGGGGGCAGAACCCAGGGAAGGAGGGTGAGGTTCGAGGGACATCATGGGAGGTGGCTGTTGGGATGGGAGCTTGGTACTGGCTCACAGCCATACCTTAAACCAAGCTTGTCCAACCCACGGGCCAGGATGGCTTTGAATGCAACCCAGAACAAGTTCATAAACTTCCTTAAAACATGAGATGTTTTTGCAAATTTTTTTTTCTGTAGCTCATCAGCTGTCACTAGTGTATTTTATGTGTTGCCCAAGACAATTCTTCCAGTGTGGCCCAGGGAAGCCAAAAGATTGGATAACCCAGCCCAGACCATGCCTGTCTCCTCCTCCCTGCTCTTTAGGACCAGATGGCCTTCGAGGATGTGGCTGTGTACTTCTCCCAGGAGGAGTGGGGGCTCCTGGACACAGCCCAGAGGGCCCTGTACCGCCTGCAGATGCTGGACAACTTTGCAATTTGCAGCCTCGCTTGCAAGGTCCTGGATACCCATGAAGCGGGCAATTGATGAGAAGCTGACTAGCCGGGACTGCCCCTCACCTCCCTCGTGGCTGACGAGCAGGCCCATACCTTGCAGCCAGGGGTCGTGTGGAATAGGGGTCTGGTCCTGTAGACATGCAGTCTGGTTGGCTCCAATCCACTTCCTTTGGCCCTGTCCGGCTGTGGCTTCCCAAGCCTGGGCTCAGTCCCCTTCTTGCGCTTCAGCACAGCTGCTGCCCTGTGGGGTGAATGAGCTTGATTCCCAGAGCCTTGCCCTGTGCCATCTTTAGATTCTCCTGTTGCACAGATGACATTTTCTGTTTCCATGAAGCCCTGACTCTCTGCCCTCTGCTTGAGGTCAGGTTGTCTTGAGCTGGGCTGGACTCTAACGTACGTCCTCCCTCACAGGACTCTCCACCTCTCGACCTCGTGGTCATCCAACTTGAGCGTGGCGAGGAGCCCTGGGTTCCCAGCGGAACGGACACGATCCTGTCCAGGAACACCTACAGGAGGCGAGAACTGGTGAGTGGGAGCTCAGGTGGGGTGAACTCAGGACCAACTCCGTGCCACCCACGCCTGTCCCCGCCTCCTGTGAATCCCCAGAAGCACCCTCCTCACCTGCCTCCCACCTTCCCTTCTATCATCAGCCCCTCCTGGAGGCTGCAGCTCAGCTGCCCTTGTGGCTATGGCGCTCCAAGGTCACAGGAGCTGGGTTGACAGAAGGGTACTCCAGGCTGTGGTGAGACCATCTCAGAGTCCTGCTATCAGCTGGGCTGGCCTCAAACCTCCATGGCCAGTCACTGCCATAATTTAATTTTATTATTTATGTATTTATTTATTTATTTGAGACTGAGTCTCAGCCTCTGCCGCCCAGGCTGCTATCAGCTGGGCTGGCTCTCAAAACCCTCCAAGTGGCTAGTCACTGCCATAATTTAATTTATTATTTTATTTATTTATTTATTTATTTATCTGAGACTGAGTCTCGCTCTGTCGCCCAGGCTGGAGTGCAGTGGCGCAATCTCGGCTCACTGCAAACTCCGCCTCCCGGGTTCATGCCATTCTCCTGCCTCAGCCTCCCAGGTAGCTGGGACTATAGGCACCCGCCACAGCACCCGGCTAATTTTTTGTATTTTTAGTAGAGATGGGGTTTAACCATGTTAGCCAGGATGGTCTGGATCTCCTGACCTCGTGATCTGCCTGCCTTGGCCTCCCAAAGTGCAGGGATTACAGGCGTGGCTCACTGCGCCCGGCGCCACTGCCATAATTAATAGGTCATAACTTTCAGCCATCATTCATCTTTGTGTTCAGCAGCAACGCCCTGAGTGCTCATAGTGGCCAGGCCCATTGCAGGCAAATGCAGGCAGCCTCAATCAGGATGATCCTGGTCCTGCTTTTCTGGGGCTCCTGGTGTGGTGGGAGAGGGAGGCAGTAAGCAGGATTCAGGAGAGGCTTAGAGCACTAGATGGAAGTCATTGCAAGAGCAGGTTGGGGAGTGGGTGCCTGAGCGGCAGGGGGAGGACCATGGGTGAGCACTGACAGAAGTGGACGGAATAGCCAGTGTGGAGATGTATGTCAGCATCCTACTCAGTTTTCCTCAGCTTCACATCCCGGGTGTCTGGGCCGCCTTGCTCAGCGGGAGTCCCCAGTGTAGTCAGTGCCACACCTGTCAGGCAGATGGTTCCTCCAAACCTCCCAGCCCTCTCCCGGGAGGGCCGGCCCCTGCCTCTACTTTTCCCCCCTAAGCTTTTGTGTCAGCCGCCCCCACCCCCCGGCCCTGTTTCCTTCTGCCTGTCCACTCAACCTGCCGTGGTCCTCTCCTAATCGGGATGCCCCCAGCAACCACCGCTTCCGCTCCTTTAGGTTCCTGGAGTTTGGCAGAGTGATGGAGATGTTTCTGAGAATGGCTACCTAGCTTCCCAGATACTCCCATCTGGGATGACTACTGGAAGATCTTCCCAGTTGTCGGTGCCACTACAGTGTAAAACCCAGCGACAACGGGGTGCCTCCTGATCCAGGAGAGAGTGTCCCACAGGGGTGTCGGTGGATCTACTGGGGAGAGACTCTGCTAGGCTCGGGTAGTGGGCAAGCCAGTGTCAGCCTGCGACTGACCTCCCCGCTTAGGCCTCCTTTAGGCGGCCAGCTTAGGGAAAAGACCCTCACAGAGCACCCGGTGCCTGGGAGGCAGCCCAGGACCCCCTGAGCGGCAGCTATGTGCACAGGAGGTCCCTGGGAGAGCTCTTCTGGAATGCCCCGGATCTGCAGGCGCCAGCGGTCGTGGGGCACTGTGGAATGGGTCCGACTTGGCAGGAGCCTCAGAGACCTCGGTGGCCAGGAGCCCCCGACCTGGGATGAGCTGGGCGAGGCCTCTCGCTGGGGAGAAGTCCTTCGAATGCAGAGCGTGCAAAGTGTCTTGGAAGAGCTCCGACCTCCCTACACCTACGCACCCACACCGGGAGCGGCCCTACGAGTGCGCCTAGTGCGGCAAGGCCTTCAGCCAGACGCCGCACCTGACGAGCACCAGCGCATCCACAGCGGCGACGCTCTACGCCTGCCCCGCAGCGTGGGCGCCTCCCGGCACAGCTCCTCACTGGTGCGCACCGCGCATCCACACGGCCGGTAGTCCTTCAGCTGCTCCGAAAGGGCAAGGCCTTCAGCCACGGCTCCAACCTCAGCCAGCACCGCAAGATCCATGCGGGCGGGCGTCCCTATGCCTGCGCACAGTGTGGCCGCCGCTTCTGCCGCAACTCGCACCTGATCCAGCACGAGCGTACGCACACGGGCGAGAAACCCTTCGTGTGCGCGCTCTGTGGTGCCGCCTTCAGCCAGGGCTCCTCGCTCTTTAAGCACCAGCGCGTGCACACAGGTGAGAAGCCCTTCGCCTGCCCACAGTGCGGCCGCGCCTTTAGCCACAGCTCCAACCTCACCCAGCACCAGCTCCTGCACACGGGCGAGCGGCCCTTCCGCTGTGGGGACTGTGGCAAGGCCTTCGCCAAGGGCGCTGTGCTGCTGAGCCACCGGCGCATTCACACGGGCGAGAAGCCCTTCGTGTGCACGCAGTGTGGCCGCGCCTTCCGCGAGCGCCCGGCCCTCTTCCACCACCAGAGAATCCATACCGGCGAGAAGCCCGTCCGGCGATCCAGGGCCGGCTTGCACCCCCAGGCCAGGTCTGTTTCCGCGACAGCATCAGAAGGTGCGCCAGGGAAGGAAACCGAGCCCACTCCCGCCTCGGGCCCAGCCGCAGTCTCGGAGCCAGGGGAGGTCTGAGGTCACAGGTTGCAGCCCTGGCCTTGTGTGAATCCCGTCCACAGCTAAAGGGCATATGTCCTCTGCAGATCCACAGCAGAGAAAAAGCCCCGTGCTTGCTAGTCAGGGCTTTGGCTGTGATTTCATTTGCACTTGGGGACAGGATTTGCCAGTTCACCCACAGATCACACCTCCATCCCCAAAGAGGTAACACTGCAGAAGCGTCATGGGGAGGATGTGGTGGCTGAACTCTAGTGGGGCCGATACTATTCAGAGCCATTAGGAGGCGGACAGTCACATCACTGCACTGTGGTGCTGCTTCATGTGTTGACAGTGGGTGCTAAGGTGAGGGGGATGTGGGCATGGGTTGGGGGTGGCCTAGAGAGACTTATGACAGCTGCACACAAACTGGCCGCTGGATAGATGCCCACTGAGGGTATTCTCAACCCACCACTGCCTCTGTTCATCCAAGGCTTCCTAGAGGCCAGTCTAGCAGACAAGAGACCACAAGGGACTGGGGATCAGGGTGTGGGCTCTCAGTGTCAGCCACCTCCTCTGGGAAAAAAAAGGTTTGGGTCCACTGAACATCATGTTTGCAGACGCTGACAGGTGGGGTCCTAATGAGAGCCAACACGTGCTCACTGCCAGCTCCTGTCCTGAGTGCTGGGAAATTTCTCCTGAAGCCCTGTGAGATGGCTGCTGTGGCTGGTATCCTGACTTGGAAGATGAGGAAACTGAGACACAAAGGGGAAGGTGAGTTTCCCATGGCACACAGTGGAGTCGGTACCCAAGTCCGGGTGGACTGATCCAGCATCCAGATGCCTCATCTCCTGGGCTGCACTCTGGTTGGTCAGGTATGAGGGCCTGGCCTGGCTTCACACACATAGCCGACTCAGGAGAGGGATGCCCATGGGGGAACATGTGACTCTCAGCTTTGGAAGGACAGAGCTAGGATGATGGCTTTCCAGTGGCACATGTTCAGGTGTTCACCCAAGTCTCAGCTTGGCCAAGGCCTGTCACTGACTCGTTTACCAAAGTCGATGTGATGAGGAGCCTTTACACCTGAGGGGGATGATGTTAACTTCAGACAAGATGGAGCTGCTCATTTTTGCTGGGTGTGGTGGCCACTTCCCCCCCAACCCCTGTCTCACCTTACCCCTGTTATCCCTCCTTATTTGGAGGCTGGACAGACAGCTGAATAGGAAGGACTTGCTATTACCTAAGGCCATGTGTGACACCCTCCTGACCCACCCTCCCCACCCCAGTGTAATGTCCCTGCATGGCCAGGACAGGAGGGTGGACTGGGGGCCATTTGCTTCCTGTGGCCTTCAGCAGACCAGGCCGTGTCCCTACCTGGAGCCTCACCTCCAAGCAAATTCATGTTCTCTTTAATGGAAAAAAAAAAAAAAAAAAACCCCGACTAGCTTCTGCAACTCGGAATAGGTGTTGCAGTTTCCTGTACTGCAGTTGGGGCCTCTTGTCCCTACTCCAGAGCATGGTTCAGTTTTTAATAACAGTTCAAAGAGCTTCTCTGATAAAGGTTTCTTTTTAAACGTGTGTGAACGGTAGCAACCTGACACCCATTTCACCCTCATACAATGCAGATGGTATTGAACATACCCTGACATGCCATCAGCGTTTGTCATCATCACAGAAGTTCCTGGACTTGGCTTCAACTTGGGTACCCTCAAGAGGCCACAGAGTAGAGATGCAGCCTGTCTGTGGCCCAGGGAGGGAGTGGGATACCTGTATCCTTTTCAGGGCCAGAGGTGGGTTGAGGGAGCCAGGAGCTGGATGAAATGGATAGAGTGGGGCTGCCTGGAGCAGCAGCTCGGCTAGGAGACGAGTCCTGGTGGATCCTGGCAATGGGAGGATGGTAGGTGGAGAAACCAAGGCAGGGCTGTGTCCCTTCTGCTGCTGATAGAGGGCGTGGCCATGTGGTGACCCTGCAAGGCTGCCTCCAGACCAGTGGGCACTCCCTCCCATGGCTTCCAAAATCTTGCCGCTATCCTGCCCTATACACAAAGAGCAGACTCAGGCCCCACTTACTTGATATTGGGGCCAAATTCTTCCACCTGTGAGGAGACACACAGGACCCAGCTCCCCCAGAGTCTGCAAGACTTGGGCCACCAGAATCCCAGTAGGTCCCTGAACCATTGTCCCCCACTAAGTCTGCAGAGCTGTGAAAAGCAGACAATAACCCTTCCCTGCCTGAAAGAGCACTTTTCTGGGGAGCCCATGGGAGTCAGGAGCAAAAGCATCTGTCAAACAAGTAGATACCCAGAGAGTCACATGAAATCATTTCTGTGCCTTTGATAGATGCTGCTTGAACAAAGCTTCTGCCCTGAGCCTGCCTGCCCCTCAGGCTGGGCTCAGTGCCCTACCTTGTCTTCCCACTGGCCTCCTCCCTCCATCAGGCTCCTTTCCACATCTGCTTGTTCCCCTGTTGTCCCTCAGTTTGTCCACCCTCTTCCAATCTCCCCCTCCCCAAACCCATGACTGGTCAGTGGCCCCCAGCCTAGGCTCCCGCCTCCATGCAGGTCTTGGCCCCTCAGCTGACCTCCCTCCAACCTCCCCCTGTGCTCTTACTTTTGAGTAGGTAGTGACTGTAAAAGTATCCCTGGAATTCTAGGTCAAAAGGTCAGACAGAACACCTGCATCTCAGTGGGCTCAGAAATCCACTGAAACCACAGAGGGGAGTCTTTAAAACACATAAACCCACAAGTATGAGAATGGTGAAAGAGGAGTCAGGAGCAATGGCATGCCTAAGCTAGACGTGGATGAGAGCTGTCACTACGTTAGGGAAGGCCAAATACTGCGTGGCGACTTGGGGAAGTGGAGAGAGTTCCCACCAGGCTGACTCCAGAACTGCAGAAGGCTAAGAACCAGCAGCCCAGAGACGGGAGACCTATAACCCAGCTGCCTGGGGAACAGCTACTGAAGAAGCCCTTGACGCCCCCACTGCTCTCCCCACCTGGTGGAGGGTGAAGGTTTTTTTGTTTTGTGAGACTCTCCGCATGGTCCCAGAGAAAAGACCTAAGCACCTCATCCCCAAAAACAACCTGAGGCCGCCTCTGGAAAGCTCCAAGTTGACAGGTCTCACCCACGCACATGCTCAGCGCTTCCAATCAGCGATTAAGGGCATTGCTTTTCATCTGGAGCAGGCAGCAGGGGTTCCCAGGTATCCAAAGAAACCAAAACAGGCGGTGTAATTTAGGACTGAATAATTCATGACTCGGCCACTTTAAGTGTGGAAGCAAAACTGACCCCACAGATACAGAAAACTAACACTGCTTATTGGGAGATACTAGTGTCACCCTGTCTAGTTCTGCTCCCCAAATTAAATAAAAGGTAAACAGTTGAGCACGTCCCATCAGCCTGGAGGGAAACTTCCGCCCCCGACTTTGTAGGACTGACATCTGATGTCAGAGACTGCGGTCACAACCGTCGGTACCTCCTCAGGGCGCTTAACAGGTCAAAGAAGGCCCTCGCACCCTCCCGCCGGCAGAAAGCCCAGGCTCAGGGTGGTCTTCCCACACCACCGCCTCTCCCGGGACCACTTGGAAGCAAGCGCCAGCGAACTAGTGGACCCAGGAAACCACTGGGCCGCGACTTCCAGCCTCTTCGGAAGTCGAGGCAACGCGCCTGGAGGTTGCCATGGGAACAGCTGGAGGCGGGCGGCTCTGCCCTGTGTTCTCGGGGCTGCCCGCGGGAAATGGCGTGGGAGCGGCGGGGGCGAAGCAAGCGCCCCTCTGATTGGGTAAAACCTCCTGCCTCTCCCCTCACCTGGCAATAGGAACCGGTCCACTGTACAGACGCGCGGGTTTACAGCATCGGGAGAGCTGCTCCCAGGGCGGAGGGAGCCCTTATAACGCGGACTCTGCGGCACCTCCTAGAGGAACAGAGCGCCTCTCAGGCCTCAGAGGCTGCTGCAAATGCTAGTCTTCGGGCCACGGCCGCGCCTGTCTTGCGGACGCTCATGGGAAACGTAGTTCAAAGGGCGTGGGTGGTGCCTTCGGTGCAGGCGAGCGATTGGTCGGCGCGGCGTCGCCGGGGCAACTCCCGGCTAAGGCTCCCCGCGTTGCGCGGCGCCGCTTCCGGGAAGCGGCCTCCCAGCAACGGCTCCGGGGTAGAGGTGAGCGCAGGCTGCCAGAGGCAGCGCAGCCTTTCCACCCCGTGGGAGGGTTTGGGGCCGCGCTCGGGCCTGCACGGCTCCTGCTCTCGGCGCCCTGGGGGTCCCGCCCACCTCCCGACAGGCCCCGCGCGTTGGCTCAGCCTTCACACGGGCCTTTCCTCCCCCTCAACGCCGCTCCGGGGGGCCGGCCCGGGCACGTCCTCTTGGAACACCTCCCTCTTGCCTTCCCCGTTGGGGAACAGACCCCGAAGTTCGAGCATCCCTCGGGTAGGCCGGGTATCAGGCCTGGTCTCAGGCCCGTCCAGGTGGGCGTGTTTCACTGCAGACCCTCAGGGCCGGGATGCTGTGGCCATCCCTCGACTCACGCAACGTGGAGCGTCGGCCCCGTTTTTCTTGGCGTTTGCCTTTCGTTTTTACATGCACGGGCCCGGGTAGTGTGAGTCATCCACGGTTCGCTGTGGTCGACGAGCAAGGTGTCCACATCGGCCCTTGCCTTGCCCCATAGGCCCCACGTGACCCCTCCCCAGAGCCAGTCCTAAGGGAGGTCCCACCCAGTCAACATCCCCGAGATTGTGGAGGGAGACTTGCCCCCATACTTTACAGCCTGGCTCCACCTTCTAGCCGCGGCCTCCCTGGACCACTCTCCTCCCACCTCGGCTAGGCACTGTCTGTGGCTCCTCAGCCTGGCCCTGGAACTCTGATGACTGTCATCTCCTAGCAGTCACCTATTGGACCTAACTGTTTGCAATTTCCAGGAAGCTCCTTGGACACTTGTGTCCAAGCATTTGTCCCCGAGACTTCCTCCTGCCCTCATTTGCCATCATTGTTTAGCTCCTGTGACCCTCCTCCTTCCATGAAGCTTTCTTGGCTTTACCTCCTCTGGCCTCAGAGTACACTTGGTCCTGGTCTCAGCTCCCTGGGCGGGGCCTGGTGTCTGCCTTACCCTGGCCAGATTCTCTTGGCTGACATTCTGACCCTTCCTTTTCTGTAGGCCCATCTTGACGATTCCAAGACCACCCCCTTGAGCAAAAATGCCATCCCCTCTGGGTCCCCCATGCCTGCCCCTCATGGACCCAGAGACCGCCTTCGAGGAGCCTGAGACTGCCCGCCTCCGCTTCCGAGGGTTCCGCTACCAGGAGGTGGCAGGTCCCCGAGAAGCCCTGGCCCGGCTGCGTGAGCTGTGTCGCCAGTGGCTGCAGCCTGAGGCACACTCCAAGGAGCAGATGCTGGAGATGCTGGTGCTGGAGCAGTTTCTGGGCACACTGCCTCCCGAGATCCAGGCCTGGGTGCATGGTCAGCGGCCAGGCAGTCCTGAGGAGGCCGCTGCCCTAGTCGAAGGACTACAGCATGACCCTGGGCAACTGTTGGGCTGGGTGAGTGTGGCTGGCATCAGCTTCTTGGAGGGATAGACCCTGGCTAGAACCCTTTTGACTTATCTCTTCTCAGATCACAGCGCACATCCTGAAGCAGGAGGTGCTCCCTGCAGCCCAGAAGACAGAGGAACCATTGGGGAGCCCCTACCCCTCAGGGACAGTGGAGTCCCCTGGAAAGGGTCCCCAGGACACCGGAATAGAGGGGTCTGTCCAGCTCAGCTGCAGTGTGAAGGAGGAGCCCAATGTCGATGGACAGGAAATGGGTGAGATTGGGGTCCACCCGGGATGGAAGGTTCCTGGAGGAAGCATGGACACTCCTGGCTAGGGTTGGAGTCCCAGGAGAGGTTGTGTCAAGGCCGGGACTCCTGAAATGAATGTGGATGTCGCTGTCTGGGATGGGGCCCTGGGAGGCAGGAGCCAAGGGCTCTACGTGCCATGTCACACAGCAGAGGACTTCCTTGTCTGCCATGACTCATGTGGGCAGCCCCTGACACCACCTTTCCATCTGCCCCTCTTTTCAGCACCCTCCAGCCCTCCGCTTGCAGTGCAGTCCCCTGAGGGGCACCATGGACACCAAGAAGCAGCCTCCACATCCTTCCACCCTCCCAGGATTCAGGTGAGCGCTCCAGGTGGGAAGCGTAGGCCCCAGGTGTGGGAAGGGAGTGTCCCCATGGCTGCCCTCTGCCCGGTGGTTTTCCAGGCTCCTTGGCTAGTGACTTTTTGCTGCCCAGAAGTGGCATCTGTAACAGCTGTACCCCTCCACAGGCCCTGGGGCAGAGGGACAGACTGGTGATCTATTATTGAAAAGGATTTGGGGCTGGACATGGTGGCTCACACCTGTAATCCTAGCACTTTAGGAGGCCGAGGTGGGTGGATCACCTGAGGTCAGGAGTTTGAGGCCAGCCTGGCCAACATGGTGAAACCCCATCTCTACTAAAAATACAAAAATTAGCCAGAAGTGGTGGCAGGCACCTGTAATCCCAGCTTCTAGGGAGGATGAGGCAGAACAATCACTTGAACCCAGGAGGCAGAGGTTGCAGTGAGCCGAGATCGTACCACTGTGCTCCAGCCTGGGCAACAAGAGCAAAACTGTGTGTCAAAAAGAAAAAAAAAAAAAAAGGATTTGGGCCTCAAGCCATGAAAATGCAGTTTAGAGTGGCTGGAACTGGTGGGCTTGGCTTCCTCACCTCCGGAGAAATCAGCTGGGAGGTTTGCTGCTCCCAGAGGTCCTGAACCAGAACCTGGGGATTTGAACGTTTGCGTGTAGCTGGGGAGGGGACAAGATGACCAGCTGTGGCAGGACTCCCCCACACCTGAGACCAGATGGAGACACTCTTCCTGGGACATGCCCAAAGTCCCCTCTCTCCCAGGGGTTTCCTCAGAGGCCACCTGTTGGCCCTGGAAGCTCAGCTTGAGGCCCCTGCTACCTGGATCACTTGGTTCCCAAGTGTGGGCAGCGAGGCCTTTTCTTCTCCCAGCTCCTCTGCTTCTAACAGCTCCACTGGGAGCTTCAGCAGCAGCATTGCTGGTTGAGATGTGTTTCAAGGCTGAGAAGTCCTTCCAGGCTCCCTCCACAGCCCCATAGCACAATCAGAAAGTGAGCCAGGGTGGGTAGGCTGCACTTCTCACAGTGTCCTCACGTCCCGCCAGCACCATCTCTGGCTGTGGCTCCTCACAGCTGCCGCCTTCCTGCGCCTGGACTTGCCACAGCTTGTCCCTCAGGATGATTTTCCCAACCCAGCAAAGCCCCAGATGGTGGGACTCAGGAGGCAAGGAGGGCTGACCCCCAAGCAGGGAGTTCATTCCTTGATAAACTCACTCAGGTCCCTGTAATGCTGCCAGGCCCGCCCTCTCAGCAGGGTGGGGTAGTGGAGGAGGATGAGAGTGCCAAGCCCGTCCTCTCAGCAGGGTGGGGTAGTGGAGGGGGATGAGAGTGCCAAGCCCGTCCTCTCAGCAGGGTGGGGTAGTGGAGGGGGATGAGAGCTAGCAGCCGCACTGGTCGGGTGATCTGAAAGAGGACCCTAGCACTTAACACCCACCCCGAGATCATTCTCAGCAGGAGGGGCAGATGACCTGCTGACTCCCCCGGGTAGTAAGAATGTGAACCAGACAGGGCAGGGGAGGAGTAGAAGGACGCCTACAGTGATGGGCCACATCCGCAGGAGGAGTGGGGGCTGCTGGACCGGTCACAGAAGGAACTGTACTGGGATACGATGCTGGAGAAGTACGGCACAGTTGTCTCCCTGGGTGAGGACCAGCCAGCCCCACCCCGCCCCTCTCCCTGGGGCCTGCACCCACCCTAGCTGGGCAGGGACTCTCTGTTACCAGCCCTACCCAGCTCTCCCACCTTCCAAAGGAACACCCTGTCTCCTGTCAGAACCCACCCCACCCCTCCTTCATGCAAACCCTGCGCCTGACTGTGCCCCCCACCCGGGCAGGGTTACCGCCCCACCAGCCAGAGGCACAGGCCCAGTCAGAGCTGGGGATGCTGCTCATGGGGACAGGCGTCTGCAGAAGCCTGCGCTCAGGTGAGTGCCCCACACCATCCAGCCTGAATCACCCCTCCTGTATGGGTGGGACCTGAGCCACCCACTCTTGGGGGGATGGGAGCTTGTGCCACAGCCACAAGCCTGAGGGAGGGGGTGCCAAGTGCTGGAACTCACCTGGTTTGCCCCTGCCCCCAGGAAATGAGAGTGAGGGTCCACCCGGCTGCCCAGAGGCCCAGCCGCCCCAGGGCCCAGGGCCTGCAGCCTGGGAGGGCCTGCCTGAGGCCACCACTCCTGCCCCCACTGCGCGCCCAGGGACACCGCCAGTGCCCACTCAGCCCACACCCGCAGAGACGAGACTGGAGCCGGGTGCCACCCCTAGGAAGCCCTACACGTGCGAGCAGTGTGGCCGCGGCTTTGACTGGAAGTCAGTGTTCGTCATCCACCACCGGACACACACGAGTGGGCCAGGTGCGCAGTCCCCAGGGCTAGCCGCCGGGGAAGGCACAGAGAAGCCACCGCAAGGGGAGCTGGCCTTTCCGCACCACCCCCGACATTCACTCACAGGCCCCCAGAGCTACCCATGTGAGGAGTGCGGGTGCAGCTTCAGCTGGAAGTCGCAGCTGGTCATCCACCGCAAGGGCCACACGGGCCAGCGGCGCCACTTCTGCAGTGACTGTGGCCGCGCCTTCGACTGGAAGTCGCAGCTGGTCATCCACCGTAAGGGCCACCGGCCGGAGGCTCCATGAGCAGCCAGATGGCGCAGTCACTCGGGGCCTCGCTGTTCTCGCGGCCTGGATGCAGCCTCTGGGGCACCAGTAGAAGATTCTGGAGGCAGAAGGGGATGCCGGAGTGAACAGGGGGTCCTAAGCCAGTTCCCTGCCCCGATCTGGTGTCCCCCAAAAGACCTGGGTGCAAGGAAAAGGAGCTGCTCCCTCCCTCCTTGCCCCTGCCTCCTGGAGGGAGGTCTGGGTTCCTTTCTGTGGGTGACCAGTGCCTGTGGGGTGACTGCCAAGCACCAGGCTCCCTCCCTCCCCGCGACATGGCCCGGGATGACAACACTCCCTCTCTGGGACATCCTTGCCTCAGGTGGGTCTTCACAAACTGTGCCTTCCCACCCCTCTGTGCAGAGGCTGGGCCTGAGGTTTCAGTGTGAAGGGCAGAAGACCCAGGAAAGCCCAATTGGCTCCCGTTTCTCCTGCTCCATGTGTGTGTGAGAATTTTAACATAAATTCCACTTTCATAATACAGAGTTTCTGAATAAGAATCCTGGTTTCTGGCTTCTGCTGGTTGGGAAATAGGCAGTTTGTTGTCTCTGCCCAGTAGCTGGAGCCACAGGGCAGTTGGTCCCAGAATGGCCAAACCTCTGTTGCCCCAGAACCCAGGTCCCCAGCCTCCCTTGCTCCTTAGCCGTCCACATCACTCACCAGCCTCACTGGCCTTGGAACTCATCAGTCCCAGCTTGAGTAGACACAAAGGGGATTTCCTTTCCAAGCACGGCTGGACAAGGGGGACCTCTGAGAAGAGGGGCTGCAAGCAGGTGTTGCCAAGGCCATGGTTACTTCCAGGTCAGGTCGCACCCTCCATAGTTAGCTGGTCGTGCAGCAGGAGGGCAAAGGGTCAGCTCCCTGGGAAGCACCGGATCTCTGGGCAGTCACTGGGGACTCGCCAGTGCACTGTATTAGTTTCTTGTTGCTGCTTTAACAAACTTGGCAGCTTGAAACAACAGATTTATTCTCATAGCTCTGAAGGTCAGAACTCTGACATGGGTCCACTGGGCTAAAATCAAGGTTTTAACAGGACTGGTTCCTCTTGAAGGCTCTAGGAGAGAATCATCTGTTTTGTTGCCTTTTCCATCTTCTAGAGTCAGCCCACGTTCCTTTTGTTTTTTCTTGGTCCCTTCCTCCGTCTTCAAAGCCAGCCATGAGTGGTCACGTCTTCTTTAGGCTGCCTAGGCTGCCAGCTCGCTGGCACCAGTCAATCCTTTGGTCTCCTTAAGGACCCTCATCATACCTTGTCCCCTACCTGCACACTTAGTCACACCTGCAGGATCCCTTTTGCTGTATGAGATGTTCACAGCTTCTGGGGATTGCAATGGGGAATCCTTGGGCCCCTTGATTCAGCACTCTCCTTCCTACTCTGAAAACAAGGGGCATTTTCACAGGGGATGGTTTCAGAAAACAGGTGCCCTCTCGGAAGGAGCCCTCACCAGCTGCTGGTTTATGCACAAGTTACAGGTGGATATTGAGGGGAGCTGCAACTGTGGTTACCCCAGGAGGGCCTCCCTGGGACAGGGGGCAGGAACCCTGCTGCAGCCTGAAGCTGCGAGAGCAAGGCTCTCAGAGGCCTATCTTCCCCATCCGCTTTTCTGAGGACCTTCTAACCCATTGCTGCCGTGCTCAGGGCTCCGAAAGCAGGGCCAGTTTGGAGATGGAGCTGTGGGTGGGTGATCTGTGAGCAAGCAGGAGGCGAGAGCTGTGCTGGGGACAGAGAGGAAGAGGACAGAGCAGTACCCAGGGGCTCCAGCCAGGCCCCAGCCCCAGAAGGGAGAGCCAGGGTATAGAAGGCTGTGAAAGGGCCAGATCATGCAGGAAACGCTGCAGGGGGTGAGGGTGGTTTTTTAATAAACGTTTTCACATTTAGAAGTAATTTATGCTCACTTAGAAAAATCTGAAATATACAAGATGGCACAGAAGATCATGAAAATGGCCCCTAATTCAACTGTCTCATGGCAATGCTTACTCTAGAAGTTTACACATCGAAGTGTTTGAATGTAAAGTTTCTTGTAAGGCAACTTATGTTGTTTCACTTCGGGAGACCAGGAGTTCAAGACCAATGTGGGCAACATGGTGAGACCCTGTCTCCAAAAAGAAAAATTAAAAATAATAGGCTGGGCATGGTGGCTCATGCCTATATTCCCAGCACTTTGGGAGACCAAGGCAGGTGGATCACTTGGAGTTTGATACTAGCCCGGCCAACATGGTGAAACCTCGACTGTACTTAAAAAAAATACAAAAATTAGCCAGGCGTGGTGACAGGTGCCTGTAGTCCCAGTTACTTGGGAGGCTGAGGCACAAGAATCACTTGAACCTGGGAGGCAGAGGCTGCAGTGAGCCAAGATGGCACCACTGCACTGCAGCCTGGGTGACAGAGCAAGACCATGTCTCAATAATAATAATAATAATAACTAGCCAGGCATAGTGGTGCATACCTGTAGTCCCAGCTACTAGGGAGACTGAGGTGGGAGAATCACTTGAGCCCAGGAGGTTAAGGCTGCAGTGAGCTCTGATAACACCACTGCACTCCAGCCTGGGCAACAGGATGAGACCCTGTCTGGAAAAAAAATATGGAAATGGGAGACGGAAGGGTAGGTCAGACAGAGGGATGATGGATAAAGTAACCATAAATATTCAAAATAGGAGAGAGACGGCCCCACCCTATGGAATGCTTCACCAATGTGTGTTTACCCTCGCACAGGGGCCATGCTGGTCGTTCCAGTTTTAGTATATGTGCTATAGAAGTGAGCAAGCACTTAACTTTTTTTTTTCATGCCTGGATGAATCTTCTATTTTCTGGCTAGCACCATCATCTCTACCAAGACCAAAGAATTTCTTGTTCCCTCCTCACCCCACGGTACACAGTCCTATGATTAATTCTCTTGAGTAAACAGTTGGATACTACTGTGGCTATTTCTGTAGGATAAATTGCTCAAAATGGGATTGGTGAGTTACAGGGAACATGAGATTTATTTTTGCCTTAAAACAGCAAAAATTTATTGTGCAATTCTGGAGACCAGAAGTTAGACACCATCTCACCAAGCTAATCCCAAGGTGTTGGCAGGGGCTGAGCACAGTGGTTCACCCCTGTAATGCCAGCACTTTGAGAGGCTGAGGCAGGAGGATCACTTGAAGCCAAGAGTTTGAGACCAGCCTGGGCAACAGAGTGAGACTCCGTCTCTACAAAAAAAAAAAAAAAAATTTTTTTTAGCTGGGTGTGGTGGTGCACAGCTGTAGTCCCAGCTATTTGGGAGGCTGAAGCAGGAGGATCACTTGAGTCCAGGAGGTTGAGGCTACAGTGAGCCAAGATCTCATCACTGCACTCCAGCCTGGACAACAGGGCGAGACTCCATCTCAAAAAAAAAAAAAAGTGTTGGCAGGGTTGCATTCCTTCTGTAAACACTAGGGGGAAAATTGTTCGGTAGCGCATGGCCCCTTCCCCCATGTGGTGGCTCACACCTGTAATCCCAGAACTTTGGGAGGCCAAGGTGGGCAGACTGCTTGAGCCCAAGAGTTCAAGACCAGCCTGGGCAACATAGCAAGACCCTGTCTCTACTTTTTTTCAATAAAAATTTTTTAAAACATTTAAAAAGACAATCAGCCAATTTTCTCCAAGTTAATCTATAAAGTAAATGAAACACAGGTAAAATATACCACATTTCAGCTGGGTGCAGTGGTTCACTCCTATAATCCCAGCACTTTGGGAGGCCAAGGCGGGGAGATTGCTTGAGCCCAGGAATTCAAGACCAACTTGGGCAACATGGTGAAACTCCATCTCTAGTAAAAATACAAAAAGTAGCCAGGTGTGGTGGTGCACGCCTATTGTCCCAACTACTCAAGAGGCTGAGGCAGGAGGATCACCTGAGCCTTGGAAGGCAGAGGCTGTAGTGAGCCATGATCGTGCCAGCCTGAGCAACAGAGTGAGACCCTGTCTCAAAAAAATGAAACACATTTTATATGATCTAAAAAAAAGATTCTAAAATGCATGTGGAAAAGCCCAAGAATTGCTGAGACAATTTGGAAAAATATGACAAGTAGGGAAGAATTGTCATATTGTAAATGAAAACATTGTTAAGTTACATAATATTAAAATAGTGTGGTGGCCGGGCATGGTGGCTCATGTCTATAATCCCAGCACTTTGGGAGGCCGAGGCGGGCGGATCACCTGAGGTCGGAGTTCAAGACCAGCCTGGCCAACATGGTGAAACCCCATCTCTAGTAAAAATACAAAAGAAAATTAGCCGGGTATGGTGGCACACACCTGTAATCCCAGCTCCTCGGGAGGCTGAGACAAGAGAATCCTTGAACCCGGGAAGCAGAGATTGCAGTGAGCTGAGATCGTGCCACTGCACTCCAGCCTGGGTGACAGAGTGAGACTCCATCTCAAAAAAAACCAAAAAAAAAATATTGTGGTACTGGCACAGGAGTGGAGAACTAGGTCAATCTGGGAACAGACCTTCTAGAACTTGATATACATGAAATAACTGATCAGTGAAGACAAGCTGGACGTTCACTGAATATTGGCGAACAACTGAACTCCCCATACAAAAGAAAATGGATATCCACTTTACACACACTTGAAATTAAATTCCAGATTAAATACTAGGATATTTTAAATAATGTTTTCAATATTTTTTTTTTGGTAGAGACAGGGTCTCAATATGTTAGTCTAGTGTCAAACTAGCCTCAAGCAATCCTCCCTTCTCTACTTCTCAAAGTGCTGGGATTACAGGCTGAGCCATGGCACCCAGCCTGATAGTTATTTTTAAATATGAGGAAAATGTAAAACTTTGTTTTGTTTTTCGTTTGTTTTGAGACAGGGTCTCGCTCTGTCACCCAGGGTGAAGTGCCGTCGTGCGCACGTGGCTCACTGCAGCCTTGACCTGGGCACAAGCAGTTCGCTCACCTCAGCCTCCTGAGTAGCTGGGACCACAGGCACCTGCCACTCAGCTAACTTGCTTGCTTTTTTTTTTTTTTTTTGGGAGATAGAGTCTTACTCTGTCACCCAGGCTGGAGTGCAGTGGTGTGATCTCGGCTCACTGCAACCTCCGACTCCTGGGTTCAAGTGATCCTCCTGCCTCAGCCTCCTGAGTAGTTGAGACTACAGGCATGTGCCACCACGCCTGGCTAATTTTTTGTATTATTATTATTATTTTTTTTTTTTTTTTGAGACGGAGTCTCGGTCTGCCGCCCAGGCTGGAGTACAGTGGCCGGATCTCAGCTCACTGCAAGCTCCGCCTCCCGGGTTTACGCCATTCTCCTGCCTCAGCCTCCCGAGTAGCTGGGACTACAGGCGCCCGCCACCTCGCCCGGCTAGTTTTTTGTATTTTTAGTAGAGACGGGGTTTCACCGTGTTAGCCAGGATGGCCTCGATCTCCTGACCTCGTGATCCGCCCGTCTCAGCCTCCCAAAGTGCTGGGATTACAGGCTTGAGCCACCGCGCCCGGCCTAATTTTTTGTATTTTTAGTAGAGACGGGGTTTCACTGTGTT